TGTTCAGTTCACTTGTAATTATTTTTCTTTCATCGTGCATCCCTTTCAACGTTTAAATTTCCCCACATTTTATTGGGTATATTGTTACGAGTTTTATTGGTTAGATACTGTTTCGATAAAATTTTAGTCAACACTGGCGTTAATCGAGAATTATTCAACCGTAAAGTCTTACGAGAAAATGCGATAATTCTGTGAATAAATTTTGAATAGTTAAAGTTGATTTTCAAATGGATCAGAGCCCTACCAATTCATAATTTGAAACAGAAAGTATAGTCTGACAAGAAAATGGGACAATTCTGTGAATAAATTGTAAGTAGTACATTTTCTGATGAGTTTGTAAGCGTGGGTTAGAAATGACCCGACTGACAAGTGGATCAGAGCATGCCAATTCATAATTTGAAGCAGAAAGTGTGATCGTTAATGGATTTAATATTCACTAGCATTGTACTTTTTGCAGCATTTATTTGCACTTTAGAAATTTGTATCGCGATATTTCGTATTGTTTCCGCGAGCCGGGTACCGCGCGACGGGAACTGTAACGCGTCGCGCGTCGAAATGAGATTTCGTTTCGATTGATTTAATTTCCGTTACAACGGACCATTGAAGCAATTAAAAGACCGTAATTACCGATCGACTAATCTTGGAACGGTGTAATTGAATTTGCTGCGAAACGGGAATATTTCAATCCGGCCCGGTGAATCACGGGTCTGTCCGAGCGGCGATCACCGGTGCGACGAAGGTTTCATACCTCGCGTATTTCATATTCCGAATATCGTTGCCACAATATTGCTGTTCAAGAACGGAAATTACAGGACCGAACAGTACTGGATGACGAGATATGATTTATTTTTCCAAGGGCGCAACGTATATTGCCGGAAACTAGGTATCCCCTCGGACAAATGGCACATAAATATAGAAAGTATCTGTCCCTTTGCAGGAAATAATAACATCCACCAGACATGTATTAAAGAGATCGTCCTGCCGGGTTCATATATCTTCAAAGATTCAACCTTCCACATTTCCGCCATATTGAAGTTCACTTTATTTCAACGAACGGACATTTCACCGTTGTGCGATTCGTATAAAACGTACGCGGTGTGTCGAAAAAGTACAGACTGATTTCTTTCCTTGGAACGTGTAGCTCTGTTCTATCATCGGTGTAAGTTTATATCAAGGCCATACTCCCCAAATTTCCTCTATCCAAAGAAAAAAAATCACCTCGAGATCCGTCATTTTGGAACCGTAATCGACGTTCAAAAGATTGCAATCGACCAATCAAAAATAGTTTCGATAGAAGAGTTCTAGTATCGTTACTAGGGGTGGAAACAACGCCTCCGACGATGTATAGCTTCTTAACCCTTTGATGTACGATTTGATGTAAGTTTTCAAACGTATACTATTTAATTTTGTTTAAATTTGTTCGTCAAGGAATGGCCACGAAAAATAATAGATTTACGAATACTTTGAGAACGTAAAAATGTGTTGGAAAATGGGTGAATCTACATGAAAAAATAAGTCGAAAATATGGGGTGACATTTCTTCGTACAAGGTTCCATTTTTACATAAATCGTAGAGTACCTCTATTGAAATAAAACTCCTTTTTGTTGAAGAAGTTTTTTATAAATTCACAAACTGTAGGAAATGTTAAAACACAGTCAAGTGTTCACTTACTCTACGACTCATTTACACCACATTTTCGACTTGTTTTTTCCATTTAGATTCACCCTCTTCCATACCACCAGTTCGATAACACCCTGTATAAGACTCGATGACGAGTGAACGTGATTGTGAAAATTGTCAAACTCGTCGTTGCATGGTTAAGGGAACTATTTCGAAGGAGATAATATAAATTAATAATTCACAGATAGTTGGGGGGTGGAATTCGGTCGAAAAACACGGCGGACCACTGGGCGCATTAAAAAGTTAATCGCGGCTCCGGTTCTTTTCGCCCTCGGGGTGTTCTTCGCGGCGAAATACCCGACAATATCGAGTCCCGTGACGAGATAAACTCGACCTTTCGAGAAACCTGGCACCGGATATTCGCTGCGGCGAAGTGACTCGTTACCTTAAGAGAGTCATTCTCCCTCCTCTCCTCTTCCGCGTCCTTTTTTCTCCCTCGACTTTTCACCCTCTCGAGTCAGCGACTTCGCGCACCCCGTCTCCCCCTCCCTCTGTTCCCATCCCTCCCCGGGCACGCCGTAGCCAGGAGCGTCGGCACACTCCCCTTCCTGGCACCATTTTATTTATTATCCGGGGTTATCCCAGCGACAGACTGCGGGCAACTTTCCGCCGCGGCTCGCTGAAGCGGCCCGCACGGTATCTGGTGCGTGAACCGCGTATTCATCGCAACGCGCGCCCTTTCTACCTCTCTCACCCTCTCTCTTTCTCTCCGCAACCCTCCCCCCTCGTCCCTCGTTTTCCTCTGTTCCACGGCGGTGGCTCGGCTTTTTCCGCCCCCTAACTCTTCCGCGTAGTTCCGCGCGGCCTTTTGATGGTCCACTAATTGCGGTCGCGTCTTTCAACCGCGGACACGCGACGCTGAATCCTCCACCCCCCTCAGTCCCCGCGATTTTTAGCTCCACCGAATTACGCGAACATTAGCGTCCAGAGCGCTCCATCGATTTCGAAACTGATTTTGAACGGTCTTTTTCACGCTTCTGTCTAAATTGGGCGCCAAAATACTTCGGTGGAGACCCTAAAAGATCATCCAGATTCCTAAATTCGTGCAAGAATCACGAAACATAGTAATTTCTAGCGAATATTTTGAACAAATTGACTATTACCCTTTAGTAGCCCATGCAAGATATTGGTTTATTTTTTTTAAATCATTGTGTCGTTCAGATTAGACTAAATTCAAAATTATGGACCAAATAAGTTCGTTGGAGACACTATAAGAAAATCGAGATTCATTATAGAGGATAAATTCATACAAAAATCCTGAAAGAAAACTAAAAGGGTACAGGGTTGAAAAAAAATTGATTCACTTTAATAGTCTATGCAAGATTTAAGATTTATACAGGGTGTCCCATAAATAGTGTAAGAACCCGAAATGGGGGGGTAGCTGAGACGATTCTAAACAACAATTTCCTTTGCAAAAATGTCGGATGTATAACCCGGATAAAGATTTATTTACCCCGAAATGGAGAAATGGAGACATCGAAGCGAAATTACCTCGCAGAAAAGTCTGTTTTCACCAGTCAGGGATTGTAAAAGTTGGTTGCAATTTGTTTCGCTTTGGCCGTGGGATCGAAGAGTCGTTAATCGGGCAGGAATTTTCTGCCGGTGAACTTTGGCGAGGGCACGCCAGACGCAGTGACTCAGAATCCGGTAATAGAAGCGGCCGAGGCAACGGGCGGATAAATCGTAATCATTATAGAGCGGGGCGCGAACGAAACTATTAATATCCCCATCTCGAGTGCAGACGTTAACGTAGGTATCGAGTTGAAAGCCTATAACGCAACGGGTATATTCTGAGGGAACGCTAATGCGTAAATGCGTATTGATAGTACGCATTGGAGGAAGAGGGCCGAAAGATATTTGCGGTAAACGCGGAAATCACGATGGATCATGGGGCGGTCGAGTCGCGCGGAATTTCCATTCCCCGGGCACCGTATTTACGACCAGCGGCTCGATGTTTATAAACGATTGCAAAATGCAATCTTTTAAACGATGAAACACGCTGTTTTATATGGGCGTGGGGACCCGACAGATTCCACTGAATTGCAAATTGTGTACTTTTTTATATTCAATAATATCGATGGGTTGCGGAAGCGAACGAAATATTGAACAATAAAAATTGCTGTAGTGTCTTTGGCGAGTAATCGAACAGCTTGTACGTTTAATCATCTCGCATTTTATGAAGTGGAAGTTTTATCGAAAAATATACGATTGTGGGTTATGAAAATTTGACGATTTTATTATTATATGTTTACTATCTTTTTGTAATTTATTTATATAGGCTATATGTTCGAGGTTCTGTTTCTTGTAAAGTAGTATGAAATGATTTTCATTTTTAAAACTGTTCTTACACCCCAAAAAAAGTTTGTTATTTATTATTTCGATAAAATATATTACTAGTTCATTCTGATGATTTTATTATTACATGTTTACTAGCTTTTTGTAATTTATTTATATAGGCTTCGAGATTCTGTTTCTTGTAAAGTAGTATGAAATGATTTTCGTTTGTAAAACTGTTCTGACATCCCAAAAAAAAGAGAATGAAAATTACCTGGTAGCAATAAGAAGTTCCACGTTGATTTGTTATTTATTATTTCGATAAAATATATTACTAGTTCATTCTGATGATTTTATTATTACTTGTTTGCTACCTTTTTATAATTTGTACTATTTATGTTGTAGATTCTATTTCTTATAAATTTCGCCGCAAATCATCTCCCTCAAAAGAGAAAGAAAATTACCTAGTAGCAATAAATCGTTACCTGTTGGTTTGCTATTTATTATTTCGATAAAACTACCTTTTTGTAATTTCTATTGCTCACACTCGAGATCCTATTTCTTCTAAAGAACTTCGAAATGAATTTCCCCCCAAATCATCCCCTCTAAAATTGAAAGAAAATTACCTAGAAGCAATAAATCCTAGCCTCTTGGTTTGTTATTTATTATTTCGATAAAACTACCTTTTTCTAATTTCTATTGCTCACATTCCAGATCCTATTTCTTGTAAAGAACTACAAAATAAATTTCGTCCCAAATCATCCCCTCTAAAATTGAAAGAAACCTATCTCGAAGCAATAAATCCTAACCTATTGGTTTGCTATTTATTATTTCGATAAAACTACCTTTTTGTAATTTCTATTGCTCACATTCCAGATCCTATTTCTTGTAAAGAACTACGAAATGAATTTTGCCCCAAATCATCCCCTCTAAAATTGAAAGAAAATTACCTAGTAGCAATAAATCGTTGTTTATTACTTCGATTAAAATCTATCTGGTCTCCATAGCGGGCGTATTATATCGTGGCAAGTCGAATCTCTACTCACCGCGATGAATAACTTTGTTGAACACGCTGGTTATGATCTGCAGCTCCGGATGCAGCGTCTCCCCCAGCTGAAACAGATGGCAGATTTCTTTGAGCGTCGAAACACGGTATCGGCTGCAGGGAAACACACACACACACCCCCTACTTCGTCGTTCCCCCCTACTTCCTAGCATCCGCCTTCATTCTATGCCCTAATACGTTTTCCATCGATTTCCCATGAAAAGGGGTTGTTCGGCGTTGCTAAGTGCACCGCATAAAGAGGCGAAGGCGAAGAGTCGTTTCGAAACTTCCACACTGGGCGCCATTAAAGGTAACCGTAAAAGCCACCTAAACCGGCCGGGGAACTCTAAAGTAACGATAAATAATAAAAGCTCATCTGGCCGTCGCCGTGGATCAAGAGTTTCGCCGTTTCCGTGATGGAACGAACCTCGACTGATCATACACACCCCCCTCGTAACGATGCACACCCCTGTTCTACCCCTTCCGACATTTTCACTTCACCCCCGTCGTTTGTTATACTCGAGACTCCCGTTTCCTAAAACTTTGATCCATTCGAGGCCAGACGAGTACTATTTCGTGGCATTTTACGAAGCACCAATCACTCAGGAGCGATATCAACCCCTTCGACACACGATTTGATTACAAATTATTTTTCAAACGTGTATTATTTAATTTTGTTTCAATTTGTTCGTCAAGAAATAATGTGTTGATTTCAATATGAAAGACTTGACGATGAGTGAGCGGCCAAACGATCATGACACTTGACTCGTTTCATCGAAAAGAGTTTTGGTAGTTTGATAAAGTTTGACAGAGTTTTCTTGGCGGAGTCGTTGGCTCTGATGATTTCATCTTTTCTTGGTCACAAATTGGACTTGATGCTCTAAAAGATGTTTGAACAAGAATGTTGGTAGATTGATCAAGCTTGACAGAGTTCTCCCTCTAAATTCGTTGGCCCTTCGCCACAAACAGCGTCAAATTTGATTTGTTTTTACCCCCGGAACGAAATAATATTTCACTCTTTCATCGATTTCATCTTCTCTTCGACGCAAATAGCGTCGAATTGGATTTTAAAGGATGCTCGAACAAGAATTTTCTTTGCTAGATTGCTTCCGAGTTTGGTTCTACCTTCCCCGTCGACGTTCTACGCGGGTGGATAATAACGTGTTCTATGGAAATTACTGTATCGCCGTGGCGCCGAACGGTGTAAGTTCGGTGTTGTACAATTTGTCTCCTTCGTCCGCAAATGATCCGTTTTGCTCGGCCAAAGGAGTATCTTTGGCCGTGACTGGTGTGATACAGTTCACCGAATAATTACTCGGCTTTACGTTTGCGCCACGGTGATCCCGATGACAGAGATTAATGCACGGAACGCGTAACCTGAGGTATCTATGTAACATCGATTACTTATGTCCCTATAATTATTGAGAATCTGCATGCAACCTTCCGCGCATTCCAACACGAACGCATCGTTATGTGCTTGATCATTTTCTGTAACTTCTCTCCATCAAAAAATATTCCACTCCAATGAAGAGAATACAATTTATAAAATCACGAATTTTATCATCTTAACCCCTTAACGTACGATTTAATATAATTTTTCAAACGTACACTATTTAATTTTGTTTAAATTCGTGCAAGAAATGGCCTCCGAATGAGAATAAATTTGTTTCACGAATCGATTAATTATAATTGTAATTATAGTTACATTAAGTGTTGATTTTAGTATATAAGACTTAATAACGAGTGAGTAGCCTCATGATAGTAAAATTTGACATTAAGAACTTGTCACAGTATCAATTTTTCACGTTTCTAATCAAATTTGAAAGAGCTCAGTTTCTGCGTGCGGTCAAAAAAAAAATTGGCGAGTTAATCATGGACGAAGAGGAACAGGAACGATAATCTGGTCTTCGTCGAATAGTCGCAATCCTCCGTACGGCGATTCGTCGAAACGAGTCGACGAAACAACAGACGCATCTGCCAGCGACGAACGAATTAATTAACGGGAACTCCGTGGCCGGAATAAATTAACAAACGAAGTTACCCGACCGCGGTGTATTATCGAGCCAATGGGGGGGCCGGAGCCGTAGCGATAAACCAACGAACGCGAACGAAGAATTTCGAACGATCCCAAAACGGCTGGTAACGCAAACCCCTGTTCGCCGGGTCTTTAACAGGTGCTCGATCTCTCGACGAAGGGCCTGGTAAGGGATCCGTAAAACTGTGTCGTTGTGTGCGTTGACCTCTGTAATTTAAATGGATTATACTCCGGGGATGCCTGAGGGATGAGATCCAAATGAGTCGCTGGCGGGAACTCGGCCTGTCGGTGGCTCCAACTATTTCAGAACCTAAACGAACCTCTGGTTATTTTCACTCGTCTCGTTGTTGCAACTGGAATCTCGCGATGCTCTTTTCCGTTGAGTAGACTTTTGTTTTATTTATCTTTCTCGATTGACAGAAGACAGGCAAAGGAATTATTGGTACCAGAGTTTGGTCCGAAAACTTTCCATCTTTGGAACGAAATTTGAAACTCATTGATTTGACTTTAAGCAGTTTAAATCTCTTCGAACGGTATCAGACTTTGGCCTGAAAAGTCACTTTCTATCTTTGGAGCAAAATTTGAAACCCATTCGATAATATTTTCTACTTCATACAGAGTCTGAAGAGAAGATGACTTTGAGTAGTTTGAATCTTCTCGAACGTTCAACGAATGAAAGTTTGCAAAGAAGTTATCATTGGAGTAAAGTGTAATGGAATGTTTTGTTAACCCTTTGTTGTACAATGACTTGTGAGTCAGTGAGTCTTGTATAATATATTAAAATCAACGCATATTTTGTGAGGTATTCGTAGAACAAATCTTTGTAGTCATCAAATCAAATTAAATTAAACAGTACACGTTTGAACATTTATTTGTAATTAAATCACATGTCAAGGGGTTAATATATCAACCTGTACGAGGTACTCCATTTCGAAATTTCACCTGTAAATTTTACATCCCCATTCTCCATTCGATTCTAATTAACAATAATAATTTAATATCTAAAATAATTCATGTTTTAATCGACCAAATGCATATGTTTCTGGATCCCACGAGAAGAAAACTTGAAAATTCCGGTAATCCACGTCCAGTCGTGCTCACCCAGCTTCCGTTTCCTCGTTTTCTTTCCTTCTGGGCGCCAGTTTTCTTTCGCGGTGTCCCGTTTCGGCGGTTCCCTCGCTAAAGACCGCGCAGGGAACGTGCCTTCGGAACTTTGAAATTTATTCCGAAAGTAAACACCGTGCAGCAAAACCTACTGCATGTTTTATGAGGGCCCGGAATCCCTGTCGCGTGACGAGGACGCTTTTTCCGCGATACCTCGCGCGGTTTCTTCCTACGCTTCGTTTGTCTCGCGTCGTTAATTTCGCGGTTCGCGACGCCGCGATTCTGCTTAATGACGCCGAAACGATCGCCAAACCGTGTCGTTCGTCGATCCCATTTCTGCAAAATTTCGTTTCATACCTTTTGGACAGTCAAATATTCCAAGATTCTTGATCCCTCGTCAAATTTCGAAAGCATAACATTCATATGTTAACAATTTTCTCGATTTTAATAGTCGAAAGTTACGGTTGGAAAATAATGAAACCAAGACACGGAATTAATTTAATTTTTAAAGACGGAAAATCAAATGTCTAAAGTTTTATTCGTATCGATAATCAATTTTGTCTCTAATTTTTTATTTTCATATCGCGTTCGAAAAATTGCTATTGCAGTGCAAATGTCTGTAGTCAGATATTCCACAAATATCATCAAGTTTCCTCCTTTTTACTAAACAAAAGTTGAAAAATATTGAAACTGAATGAGTCCAATCAACAATTTTATTTTTTCCAACATAAATATAAAATCTTTTTCTTGATACAATTAGAATTTTAAACTAATTTCTCAATTATTATTTCGCCCCCCAAGTTACAAAAAATTTCCCTCAAAGTTGCACACAAAAATAAGCCCTCACGCATGTCTTCTGCAAAATTCCCTCGAAATTGACGCTCGATAATTCAATATAGTAATTTCAATCCTTTATCGACACGATTGGAACGAATTAAAGGTTTCAAAGTAATTTTTTTTGCTTACCTGGACCATAATCGAGATGGCGACCAGTCCCTGGCTCTTGTGCTGCGCCTCGCTCATGTTGTGATACAGCTCCGCGTTGAACCCGTACACTTGTATCTGCAACAAAGTATCAGAGAACGAGGGGGGGGGGAATTATTTCTTGGCGTAATCTGGTCGCGGCCGCGCTCGTATTTTACGCGTCGTAATTACGTCGACAAATTTCGTCTTCGCACGAAACAAATTCCGGCGTCCAGGGCCCCGCTTTGTGCCCGACAATATACGATACCCTTGTCAGGGGGAGGGGATCGTCTTCCCGAAATTGTGCTCCCCCGTTGGTTCGTTTCGTGCGTGTTGCCGCTTTCGAATGAATTAATCGTCGACAGATTTCAAAAGGCCTCGCCCGCCCCCGCATCGAGGGTTCAATGGTCGAGATCGTCTCGCGGATCACGAGAATTAATCGTTGCACCAGCAACGTCTTTGCTCTTTAAATTCTTTATCTCGATGGAGTCGAATATCTCTGATATTTTATTCGCGTCAACAATCAATTTTGTCTGCAATTTTTATTTTTATAAAATTGCAGTGCAAATCTTTCTAGCCCTTTCTAGGTGAGATATTTCGTAAATAATGTCAAGTGCCCCCTCTTTTAATAGACAAAAGTTACGATGGGAAATATTGGGACCAAGACACAGAATTAATTCAATTTTTATTCAGATGGAAAATCAAATATCTCTGGAGTTTTATTCGTGTCAATAATCAATTTTATTTGCAATTTTTATTTTTATAAAATTTTCTATTGCAGTGCAAATCTTTCTAGCCCTTTCTAGGTGAGATATTTCGTAAATAATGTCAAGTGCACCCTCTTTTAATAGACAAAAGTTACAATGGAAAATATTGAGACCAAGACACAGAATTAATTCAATTTTTATTCAGATGGAAAATCAAATATCTCTGGAGTTTTATTCGTGTCAATAATCAATTTTGTCTGCAATTTTTATTTTTATAAAATTTGCTATTGCAGTGCAAATCTTTCTAGCCCTCTCTAGGTGAGATATTTCGTAAATAATATCAAGTGTGCCCTCTTTTAATAGACAAAAGTTACTATGGGAAATATTGAGACCAAGACAGAGAATTAATTCAATTTTTATTCAGATGGAAAATCAGTTTTGTCTGCAATTTTTATTTTGTATATTACACTTAAAAAATTGCTATTGCAGTGTAAATTTCTCTAGCCCCAGTAAGATAGTTGATAAAATATCAAATGTCCCCTCTTTTAATAGACAAAAGTTACAATGGAATATATTGAGACCAAGACAGAGAATTAATTCAATTTTTATTGAGATAGAAAATCAAATATCTCTGGAATTTTATTCGTGTGTATAATTAATTTTGTCTAGAATTTTTGTTTCTATATTACACTTGAAAAATTGCTATTGCAGTGCATTATCAAGCCTTCTTGTTTTTAATAGACAAAATTTATGATGGAGAAATATTGAGACCAAGACAGAGAATTAATTCAATTTTTATTGAGATGGAAAATCGAATATCTCTAGAATTCTATTCCTGTCGATAATTAATTTTGTCTGGCAATTTTCGTTTCTATATTACGCTTGAAAAATTGCTATTGCTGTGCATTATCAAGCCTTCTCGTTTTTAATAGACAAAATTTATGATGGATAAATATTGAGACCAAGACAGAGAATTTATTGTGTCCAACGAACAATTTTATTTTTCACAACATAAATATAAAATAATTAGAATTTCAATCGATTGAAATTAGGGGATTCACGTGGAGTTCCTGACGAGTCCATCGGTATGAACCGAACAGGAAGTCAATATTTGTTTCTGTAACTTTTTCATACTATGACGAACCACGGAAGTAATTAATGCATCGATGGATCAGTGCTCCTAAAACAGTTGAATCGTGTTTCTGGTATACCTAGAATCCTCTACTCTTAATTTTTGAAATAGTTGCACAAAGCTAGCTTTCATGTGACAATTATTCAGCTGGTATCATTGGCGTAACAATTTGAGGAATATCAGAGATACCGGAATTGATTGTCGCTCGATCTGATACATTACTAGAACAATTTGACCATCCCCACACAGTTGTTTATGTAAATTTACCGTATTTACATAGATTAAGTTTGAATATACGTTTCACGACGCATTACTTCGGTATTAAAAATTTCATAAAGCACGTATTTTATATTATTCCAAGGATCGAGGTATAGTCCAGGGTGTTTTAACGATCCTTTTTCTTCGATAATGACTAAAATTCCCGAGGAGATTCTGTCCGTTGTTACTTATTCTACAACGTGCCCCGATCCTTTATTAAGAACTTTATTTCGATAAAACAGAGACGTTTCCTTTTTGCGTCATGTTTGTCCAATAAATACCGGATCAATAGGGATTCTTCTATGCATTCCTGATGCCGTGGCTTTACCTCGTAAAACGAACAACCTATCGTTCCTCGTATTTTTTGTCCGATAAACTTGCGCAAACAAGATTAAGAAATCTCTCGATAGCAGCGTAAAGAATATACAAGCCGGGGGTACACTTGTACACGATAAATTTTTAAGCGAAGAAAAAAGTCTTCGGACGCGATAGATTCCATCGAGAACGATCGATAATTACTCGCGTAGAAAGTTTGGAATTTCAGTCTTGGGAGCTATTTGTATCGCCGGCAATAATTGCGTTTAATGTTCGATAAATTCAACTGTATTTATCGCGACTGATTAAGTTCGACGGAATGGAATTAAGTCGTTCGACTCGGCTAAATAGTAACGATAATGGTTAAATCGAACATTTACGCGCGAGATTTCTCGATCAAATTTTATTGACAAAATATTGTTCCTCGAGAACCGTGCAAACGGAGAAGAAAATACAGCGGGCGTGGAAATTGTGCTGTTTGCTTCGATCTTCCGGCAATTCGTAATATCGTTTTTTTTGCCAAAACGCAGCTCAAAGGCGTTTTCAATCTCCACTGTTCCCAGCACGCGTTCCCTTTGTTTCGATAGGAAAATCGAAAGCGGAAATTCGACCGCATAAATTACAGTTCTCCAAAGAAATATGATAATACAGTCACTAATAAACTAAATTCAAGCAACCGGGGCAGAATCGAAACGAAACAATCGACTGCTAGTCGCTTCCAGTATCTCTCAAATTCCTCAACGTCTCCTCGATCTCTTTCAGAATCATCCACCGGCATTCGTCGTCGGAAATTCCAACCAGTCTCTCTATAACTCGACATCTTCAAAGAGAGACCATCCCTCCGTGCTTCATGCGTCTCTCGAACTCTCGACCCGATAACGCAAACACTCGATCAGAAAATTTTAAATAAGTCATCAGCTTGTAAACAAGCAACACGGATAGAAAAAAAAACAATCTCAAATACACTTTGATCGCCACGTTTGTTCAGAAACGTCTTCAACGTCTCTAACTCTTTGATACATCTATTTGTAACTTCGTCGATCACTCTGACGTGATTAAAAATTTACAGAAATTAGAACTCAGTCGTTCCAAGCGTTTCGTTTAAAGTTCTGTCTTTAAATAAATAATCCCAAAGAGGCGTCTCTAAGCGTAGTTACAGATTTATTTTGGCGAAATTGATCCTACGAGCAATTATTTCGACTTGTTCCACGCGTTTACGAGTAGTTTACGAGGGTTAAAAATCAAAGAGCAACTTCTCGCCACTGTTCTGCCCCTTTGGTTCGACGGTGGTCTCTTTTCTAAGGGGTTTCGAGCTCGTTGGAACGTCTACGACGCGAGTCGTGGCTCAAAGACGTCACCAGCGTCGCCCAGAGCAAGAAAGACGCTCGAGAGCTGGGGGGAAAAGATGGAGAGAGACGGCAGATTGGCCAGGATGAGCCCCGTAAATCCAGTGTGCCTGATCAAAGTACGACCAACGCTACTTGCAAGATTCCCCACATCCCACACCGGATTCCCACACCCTTTCGCCCTCTTGCTTTCATCCCCCGTGGAATTATCCTTTCGTTTTTCTCCACGGGACGAACCAAGAATCAAGGACACTAGACGAGTTTCCACCCATTTTACTTTATTCTTCAACCACCATTTGTTGCTGCAAAAATTCATTAGCTGAACTTTGAAATCAAACTGAATCGAGAATTTGGAATAAAATTTTTTATCTCTGAGAAAATCTATTTTTGATATTTGTCGTGCAAAAGTATACTTAATTGCAGCTCAATTTGTCGAGTGACTCTTTAGATAATTGTGTTTTCATTTTTATTAAATATTAAATAAATTTAAAATTATTATTATTAAATTTTAGAGGTGATCGTTATATGTCAACAATTTTAGGGTATAATGTCAACAATTCTGAAAATCAAGATTAGTAATTATTTAATTGAGGCTTCGTTTGAATATTGATAATTTTTAAAAATTCAAAGGGTGATTCTAGAGGCCAAAATAGGACATCAATAATTTAACAAAATTTAATTTCGATAAAAAGGGTGGAAAATAGAAATTTACGTTCGCGGTTCATTAAACTGTCCACCGCTGTTTTTCCCCGGCCGGAAAATATTTAAAAATTAATTTTTTGCCATCGACCGGCCGCCGAGCAATAAACTACGGATGCAAATTGAATTTTTATAATTCTCGATCATCGTCGAGCGGCGTCGAAAGTGCAGCCCGGGAAGGTTGCGCCGATTTAATTAAATTTTAGGTAGCCGTGTAATCGAATCCTAGTACAACTGCGATTACGAAAGTCGTTCTATGTTTAATGCCCTGCAGGGAAATAGTAAATGCAATTTAGAACGTCCTGCGGCGCGGCTAATTTATTGATATCGAGCACCCGCGTAATTTTGCACCGGTGCTAATAATGTACAATAAAATTTTAACGAAGCCGCGAGGGAAGGGGGAAAAAAAAGAATTTTCCACCGTTACACCGGGAAAACGAACAAAAATGTTTATCCCGTTAAATTGAAGTAATTATCTCCGAAAAATCTGGAGGATCCAATTACAGGGCGTTTGGCCGCGAACGAAATCATTATTCAGGGGTTTAAAATTCCGTGAAAATAAACGAAACTCGGAAATAACCGCCTAATATTTTGCTAACGTTTTTACCGCTCCGTCTATCGTCTCGTCTCCTTACGATGCAA